ACAACCTACGGCACATTAAATGAAATAAGATAACGTTTGTGTTTCTTTATTGGTTTCTCAACTATTGAACTGCTTTATAATCTACATTCAGCAACAGCCAAGTTGAATTTGCTGTACCATCCCTCTGTTTGCTTCCAGACAAGGTTTGGTAGACCTTTCTTGTCATAATGGAATTCCTTTTCCTTATCGCTCTAGATCTTGATGTCTAACTTCACCCTGGCAGGAATAAATTGAAAGTGCTCTGATCAAATCCAAATGGGCAGCATTTATCAAGAAGATAAATACCCAATGTTTCAACACCTTTGACAGCTGCTGGGAATAGGAACAAAATGAAATTAACCCTTTGAGGCAAACCCTCCAAGTGCATGCTCCTCAACTTCCAACGGGTCAAACACGAAGCATAATGTGCAACCAAATCAATAAATGCCTAACATTTAAGAGAATTACAACACCAGATTCTAATGTACAGCATCAGTTTTGTTAATTTGTTTATACTAGAAGTAAATTTAACACCGTGCAACACTTAGGAGGGCAAATTCCCATAAACAAAAGCTTGCGGCTGAAAATGAACTTAGCTTTTATATGTACAAGGAGTAAATGAGAGAGTGAATGCTTAAACCAGTGAGTTCACAAGCGAGCCCCATCAGATTTGTGTTATGCATTCTAATCTAATTATGCCTGAAAAAATACCAGTGCCCAATAAGAGAGACATATCTGTCTCTACCATTTGCCAGGGAAACCCTTCTAAGATGTATTCTGCAAGTTGAGGTAAGCTAGAAAATTGAGTAAGTCAAAAGACCCATAGGATACCCTATAGAGGAGTCATTTACAGCACTTTCCTTCACTGGTTTAATTAGGTTTGCCATATTTCAAAAAGTGAAAATCTGGACACAAAAGTTGTGGGGGTTTTTTTGGGGGGGGGGGGGCAAAGTTGCTGAGCCTTTTTTGCAAAATCTTCCCCCCAAAACTTGAAGTTTTTACCAGACATTTTTGCCAGTTTTCGAAAATTACACCTGGACTCCATTTTCAACAGACGAATCCTGGCTATGTCCAGGAAATTCCAGATGCATGGCAGCCCTAACTTAATGCAGTGCAGTGGAAGTGACTATCAGGAGGGGCAATCACGTTACACTCAACAATATGTGAACCTCTACTACACAATAGTAGAGCTGTGCAAATCAACAGGTACACTTTAGATGTGTAGAGACAGCTTGAATACTTCTGTGAACAAGTGTATAGACAGGGGTAAAAGGATAACAGGCAGGGGAATCGTGTGCAAGTGAGGGTGGCATGTGGTCACTGGGGCTGCTGTCATGATTGACCGCTGTGCACTAAACCCTGAAACCCTGCCATCAAACTACATCTTGGTTCTAACACCTAACCTCTAAAAGTAGTATGTTCTTGGCCCCCCTTTGCTGCACAGCCCTAATTCCTACTCCAGTGAGCTAATCCTGCTATTGCTTGTAGCTACTCAGCCAGTATTAGGATCCCACTGGCTTCAAGGGTAGTGATAAAGAGGACATCACTAAGGGAAGAAGCATGGAGAGCTAATCAGGGAACATCATGTCCTGAGTTGGGATACAGAAAAGTGCATAAAAGGGGATGGAGGGATAGCGTGGTTCTATTGGGATACTTTTTTGGGGGGACTATTTTCTGGAGAGTGCAGGCTGAATGGGCATTGCCACTAGTAGAAGAGTGTCTTCAGAAATCTAAGAAACCTTTCTTTGTATTTGAATGTGTGCAGCCTATGCATGGTATTTGTGAAACTTTAAAAAGAAGAAAGAAAAAAGAACACTGATAAAAAACCCTTTGAGCTACTTTCAAACTTTTCACAGGTTCAGATAACATTTTAGCATGCAGTGGGTTACTGCATCAATATCATTCTATTCTGTCAGTGGCTCCAGCCACACTGCATGACATCCATCGGCATTGCTCTTTGGACCACCAAAGAGCCTTCAAATTTTAAAGTCAAGTTATCTGATGTCTGTGTTGCAGAATACTGATGGTCAAAGAAAAGTTCACCCTGTAACTTTCAGAATTTGCTACAAGCACCACAATCTTATTGCCTGAATAAGGCAACAAATAAACACACACACACTAAAAACAAAAACATACAACACATATCCACCAAGAGCAGTAAATCCCAGAAAGCTTAGACTTCTAAAAAGTTGCAAAAACACAAATCAGCTCTGTAAAGTGTTATCCAGGCATCTTAGCCCTATTTGGGCATTAATTCTACTCACGTGTAAGCACACATGCCAACAGGGAGTGTTGCCAAGCCCTGCCTCCACTAGCTCATCACTTTCCTCCAGGTTGATTTGATTTATTATATTTCTATGCCACTTTTCATTCAAATGAATCTCAAAGCGGCTTACACACAATAAATAACAATATCATAATAAACACAGTTAAGGCTCCCTACACAATTGTCTCACAAACACAACCTACCTATTGTATGCGTATTCTATTTGAAGCACTGATTTCTGATCACAGCCAGAATTCCATATAGGTAAGTACAATAGTACCTAGGGTTAAGAACTTAATTTGTTCTGGAGGTCCGTTCTTAACCTGAAAATATTCTTAACCTGAGGTACCACTTTAGCTAATGGGGCCTCCCATTGCCGCTGCACGATTTCTGTTCTCATCCTGAAGCAAAGTTCTTAACCCAAGGTACTGTTTCTGGGTTAGTGGAGTCTGTAACCTGAAGCGTCTGTAACCCGAGGTACCACAGTACCTGTTCTTGGGCCCTGATATATTCTAGCACTTTTTTTCATTAGTGGCTATGCCCGGTACTCCCTTCCTAGGGAGGCTTGTCCGGCCCTCTCTCAGATGTATTTCCAACAGGAAAAGGCAGGCTAGACAGATCTTTGGTTTTATCAGGGTGATTCAATTTTTCTGATGCTTGTTCTTAATAGCCCAACCTTCTGCAAACTTGTGTCCCCATATGTTGTTGGCCTACATCTCCCTTCAGCCAGTGGTGAGGATGGCCAGTGGTCAGGATGATGGGAGTTATAGTCCAACAATATCTGGGGACCTGGACTGGAAAAGGCTTTTCTAATGTGATGAAGGAAAATGTAACCAAAAGTCCTTATGCAGATACGGGTTGATTTTGTTCTCCTATTGAGTTCTATTAGACAATGCAAATGGGCAAGCTTGACCTTATTCCGACACAGGAGTCTTCTCAGGAAGGATTAAAGAGAGGAGCTGGGCTTTTCTCAATGGGTGAGAAATCCTTCCCTCTGGAAATCCTTGCCTTGGTGGGCCTGCCAGACTCATTCCATATACACCTACAGAAAACTCATCAAGATGTTTCAAGTTCAGAAGTTTTTGGAGGAAGAGGTTAACAGACACTCAGGCTTATTTTACTGCTTATGTATCGCTTTAAAGTTTTAACTGGGTTTTAAATCAGTGTTAACATTTTATGGATTTTTATTTTTTTAAAAAACTATTGTTTATTGAAAGCCTCCCTGAAGGCCTTTTTATTTAGTGGAATACACATCCAAATAAATAAATAAATAAATAAAGTCCCATTTTAATAATATAAAATCTACCCTGCTACACACAATTTGTTGCATTTAATTTTAAAAGCAGTTAAAAACCTTTTTGTCATAAATCTACACTTTCATAGGTTTTTTCCAACAATCATGTCCAAGAATCTTCCAAAGGTACAACTAGAAAACTGCCAAGGTTCTAGAGGCATTGGAACAACCCTAGAAACGGGATGCAAAAAGCAGGATCATTCACTCTGACACCAATCAGCTAAACCCCTCAAGCATGAGTCTTGATTATATTACGCTAAGGCACACAATCATAAGTGTTATTACGGGCCAATTATTCAGCCATTTTTGAACCAGCTGTGGTCTTTGACTTTATGACCCCATGCAGCAGTTAATTTCTCTGGCTGATTGCACGCTCTGCACAGAAACCATTTCTGGTTTATTTCTTCCCCTTTCTAAATTCACTTGATGCCGTTTCCAAACAGCGCTTCCTTTTGCAATTTATTTTGCAATGCAGAAAGAGGGACTGATTACTCTTCAGTATGAAGATGTATGAAGTACATGTATTACCCAAATCCCTGGTACTACAGAAAACCAAGCAATGGGTTTATTTTTAAGAATGAAACGGGTTAACTTTACACCTAGGGCACATGACCATTTGTGTTTTGTATTTTTTCCCCTTTTTTCCATATGCTAGCTATTAATTTCTTCATCTGATGAAAGCAATACAGTATACAAGAACCAGCACCACCACATACAGACATGAGAAACCAGCATAGACCAGAAACAGAGTGAACTGCCTTTGACCTTCATTAAGAAAAGAAACGGCATCTTAAAAAACAAAAACTATGCATCATCCCTTCACATCATGAGAAGCAGCTTCTGAGCTTTGATGGAACCCAGAGCTTGAAATTCTCCAGTTGAAAATAGTCTTGCATTCACTCTGCTCAGATGTGGGGTGGCAGCTATTTCATTTAAGCACAACTTGCTATGTTTCAATGCTGCTCAACTAGCTTGAAAGGGGGGAGGCTAAGCTTTCTCCAAGAAAAACTCCAGTTAAAACTTTGTGTATGTCCCCCTACTATTTGCATGGTAGCAACCTTGTAGATACTCCTCTGTGTGGTGCGGGTGGGGAAATAAAACATGCACACATAAGCAAAATGTAATTCTACATTGCAAACAGTTATCTGAACAGAGCTTGAGATATTACAATTGGTTAAAGAAAATTACAACAACGGAACACATAACTCACTGGAACTGCAGCCATTTCCCCAAACGAAAGGATGACCTGCCGTGATTTAAGTATTCCAATCTTCCTCATAATAAAGAATACAGTATTCTCACTAATAGTTCCCTCACGAAGACTGTATCATATCTACAGTGCACAGAAGGCAGCGATATATGGCAGTGCTTGCAGCTGGGCACAGAAGGTGGCACCAGATATGGCAATGAGAGCACACATAACACAGCTTCCCTGTTGGGCTCACTGAGCACTGCAGAAAGGGCAAGATGTAGCTCAGTGGCAGAGCATCTGCTTTGCATGCAGAAGCTCCAGGTGGGTGGCGCTGTGAGTTAAACCACAGAGCCTAGGACTTGCCGATCAGAAGGCTGGCGGCTCGAATCCCCGTGACGGGGTGAGCTCCCGTTGCTCGGTCCCTGCTCCTGCCAACCTAGCAGTTCGAAAGCACGTCAAAGTGCAAGTATATAAATAGGTACCACTCCGGCGGGAAGGTAAACGGCGTTTCCGTGCACTGCTCTGGTTTGCCAGAAGCAGCTTAGTCATGCTAGCCACATGACCTAGAAGCTTTACGCCGGCTCCCTTGGCCAATAAAGCAAGATGAGCACCGCAACCCCAAAGTCGGTCACGACTGGACCTAAGGGTCAGGGGTCCCTTTACCTTTACCTCCGGGTAGGGCTGGGACACAGCCCTGTGTGAGGTCTTGGAATGCCACTGCCCGTCAGTATAGATAATACCAAACTGGATGGACCAACGGCCTGATGCAGTGCAAGGCAACTTCCCATGTTCAGTTCTGAAAAAGCTTAAACTACAGAGACACTTCAAAAGCTCCAAGGACTTTCCTCCCCCAACACTCATCCCTTATTGATCGCTGTTGACTGCATGGGTAAGAGTGAGGATTACAAGCCTCTCTCCCTCTCAGACACTAATGTTGGGGGAAAGGAACCAGAATCTCACCCCCTTCCCACCCCTGGCGCCAGGAGACCTGAACTTTTCATTAGTTTCCTGGAATATGGGGGCTTTTTGGATTTTTTAAAAATAAAAAACCGCAGATCTCCACATTTCAATCTATACCAGATAACAAACTGTGCTGGCCCTCACTTCAGCTTCTCATGTTCTGGAGAACGATTGAAGAAAAAGCATGAAGCGGTGTTCAGTTTATGTTAATTGCATGCAGCAAAATCTACCCGTTAGCTGTGGCCTTTGGCTGATCTATTCCGCTGAGATTGCAGCGTGTTGCCTGACTCCTCCTGTACTCAAGTTGCTAACAACTGCAGTCGCCAAACACACCGCAGCATTTCTCAGCTGCTTGAAATTCACCACCCAACTGAAATAAGCACCGGCAATCAAAGCAGAGAGCCAGTAGTGACCTAGTGATAATGAAGATAGTGATGGGATTTTTAGAGCCAATGTCCGCATTAATGATCTTGTCACTTCACTTAGTTACAAAACAGCTGGCGGAGATGACATGATTCAGAGGGATCAATCCATCATCACACTTCAACCTTCCTCCATGCTCATATTTCATTACCCATATCCTGTTACAGGAGCTACTGTAAAATTCATAGCTTTGGGGGTTGAGGATTTTGTCACAAAGACCAGCAGGGGTGGCTCAAAACTGTCAAAGGGAGACCTAGAAGATGGCAGCTGCTGCCATCTTAGGATCTCTGTGTGTAGCTATTTATGCCAACGGAAGATAAAATACACAGCTGCAGAAAATGTTAAATGGTTAAGTGAATGGAAGGGGGAAGAATCTAAAATGGATGCAAATTCAACTCTGTTGGAAGGAAAAACTTCCCACTCAGTAGATGTTCAGAGGCCGCAGCCTAATTTGTTTATGGACAAGGATCACAAGCTTTTATAAAGGAGGTAGTAAGATTAGCGGCTAGGTTATAAAATAGCCCTAACCATATGGTCCCAATGTACTGTCTCATGTACAACTTGTCTGCCAAAACCCCTTTTTCAGTTCCACCATAGCTCCTAATTAGCACCATCCCTGCTCTCCACCCTGCAGCTCCAAACTTCTCATAATCTGAACCCTCTTTCTACATGCCATTGCTTGCCATCTAAAATCCTGTTCCATGTGGGAAGAGATGCCCCCACGTCCACACAGACTGGGTGACACTTGTTATCCAGCAAGCCTCGTTTTGCACTATGGGCCACTGCTGCTTGTTCCATACATTTGCACCTTGCCTTATAGCCTGGCAGATTCCAAACTCTCCTTCTCTTGCCACTGAAACAAGTATGGAGCAGACAGAATCATAGATCAATTCCCCTGGAGAAGGGGTAGCCAATGCTGTGCCAACCAGATGCTGTTGGACTACAATACCCATTGTCCCTCATCATCCTTGATGATGGGGCTGGGGCTGATGGGTGTTGTAGTCCAACAACATATTGGCTACTTCAGAGATACAGGCTAGCATATGACTGGGGAGATGGTTCCGTTTTGCCCTGTTTGCCTCACAATAGATATAGTGGTTTCCAAACAAGCCTCTACACTGCAGTAGTAGCTGATGGGTTCAGGTTAAAAGCAATATTCGTGGGAGGCAAGGGGGGGGCAGTCTGGGATTTATATTGTACTTTAAAGTCCTTGCGTATGAAGCCCCTATCAACACATTTCCCAAAGCCCTAAGAGATATCTGTTAGGCACTCAAGGTAAGATTCCAAAGGAAAGAGTCATTAATTCTGTATAGATAAGGTTAAAAAAAGAAGAAGGAGAGAGACAATAAACATTTCAGAAGCTTTTATCTGTTGTTACCCGAGCCTTAAGGCTAAAAAGTAAGCTGTTGCCACTTATATAAATCCTGTTAAAATTTAAAATGTGGCTGAAAGGTCTTTTTTCAAAGCACTTTTCATATAACACTCACCCTTCTGCTTCTGTGTTGCGTAAGAGATGCCAGCCTCTACTTTTCTTTTTCACTGGGAGACATATCAATGATCTTCTGGTTTGATCGGCTGCCCAACAATGCTACAGGCTGAGGCCTCCGTGCATAAACTGAAAAGCAACAAGGAAGCAAGTTTCTCCTAGGTATGAGCCTTGCAATGCTCAAGCAAATGCCCACTCTGCTATTGATTCACACATGTATACTACAATGCTAGACTAGCACGGGGCTCAGCTTTAACATTTCTGATATGTTTTCACATATGTCGTCACTGACATACTGATAAATTAACTCCTGTTTTTGTTTTGTTTTGTTACATGGGCTTCCCACATGCATCTAATTGGCCAACAGGATGCTAGACTCAAAAAGCCTTTGGTTTAACTCAGTAGGGCTCTTCTTAGGATTGGAAAAGCTAAAAGGTCCCTCGGAACCAGATATCACCTAGATATTAAAAAACCTTTGTGCCCTCCACTTATGAATGGACTCCCAACGCTCATCACCCCCAGCCAGTGTGGCCAATGGCCAGGGATGATGGGGTTTTAATAACATCTGGAGACCACAAGGTTGGGAAGGCTCAGCTAGGTGGATCTATAGGCCAACTCATTACAAGGCTGTCTCAAATGCTTGATTATCTGTGCAGTCCCTTCCACTTTTTTTTTTGTAATTAGGAAAAGCTTAATTAAGAAAAGCAGAGGCTTATTTTGGCTCTACAGCTGTTTTGTCCCCTCTTACATGCCTAACTGCTAACACAAGCAATTTGGAACAGCCTAATAACAGTATTGAGCAAAACTGCATTCTCACAATGTTTTCCCCCAGACAAATAATGCTTACTTATAATTTATATTTAACTTGACAAAATGCTCTATCATCTTAGAGTTGCCACTGGTATAAAACATTTTAATCATTTCAACAAATAGCAAAAGTTTCCTGTGCTACACTGTGGTGCTGATAGTCCTTTGTCTTCATATTTTTAAATGCAGGGAAGATAATGAAAGTCCACTGCCACTTTCCCCTTCCCAGGTATGTTATTTATCACACCTGCTAATAAAAAACGCTGCTGGTCAAGAGCCTATCAGCTTGGAAATGAAGTGGTAAAGGTAAAGGTAAAGGTAAAGGGCCCCCTGACCATTAGGTCCAGTCGTGGCCGACTCTGGGGTTGAGGCGCTCATCTCGCTTTATTGGCCGAGGGAGCCGGCGTACAGCTTCTGGGTCATGTGGCCAGCATGACTAAGCCACTTCTGATGAACCAGAGCAGCACATGGAAACGCCATTTACCTTCCCGCTGGAGCAGTACCTATTTATCTACTTGCACTTTGACATGCTTTTGAACTGCTAGGTTGGCAGGAGCTGGGACCGAGCAACTGGAGCTCATCCCATCGTGGGGATTCAAACTACCAACCTTCTGATCGGCAAGTCCTAGGCTCTGTGGTTTAACCCACAGCGCCACCCGCGTCCCACAAGACCCTATCAGCTTGGAAATGAAGTGGAGCCACCCACAAATAAGCTGGTGGTTTTTAGGGCTGGGTAGAATGTTTCTGCCCAGTAAAATTCTGGAGATTTCAGAGGGCTTTGGGGGCCCAGGAACAGGAGACTTTCCAAAGAAGGATTCTGGGTGCTGTTATTGTGGACTTAGTCGGCTTACAGTTAGTTACAAGGTGGTCTGAGGGCCCTTTTTCTTCAACCCCAGCCAGCACGGCCAATGCTGAGTGATCATGGGAGACATAGTCCAACCACCTCTGCAGGGCATGATGCTGGGGAAGTCTGGCCTAAAGGAACCAGAAGTTGGGTAGATCAAATGAGTCTGCTTAGTTTCTGTTTGTGCTGGGTCAGCTTCTCCTAAAATGAGCAGACCACCTTAAAGTTGCCCACATTTAGCAGGATGCCAGGATTGGACACCAACACTTTATTGTGTTCAGAACAGAGAAGTGCCAAGAGCTTTGTGACATAGGGATATAGGGACTTTTCTTCCTCCGTTTATGGAGAGGAGCATGCCAACACCATTTTGTGGTCCTTTTTCTGTCCCTCTAGATGTGGCAGCTGTTGGGTGTTATGCTGTGCCCTGATAGCAGCCATTTTGTGAGTGTGCGCCCAGAGCACTTTTTTTCAAAATTCCAAACATGACCCCCAAAGGTTGCTATTGCTGTTCACCTGCAGTTGGTAGGAGAACAGAATTTTAGAGTGGCAGTTGAAACCTGTCCTTTCCCCTTCTATCAATCTCCCCTGTCCGAGGGCCTGAACTGCATTACTCAGGCCCTATTCCAGGTTGACTGACACCTTGAACAAGAGGACTCCTAGGGAGTGGGGAGACAGAATTTAATAAGAAAGCGAACAAATAAGAGCTGAGGGAGAATGCATCTGCTCTTGCTTGAAACAAATGGAATGTAGCCTGGACACTTATCTGAAAGAAACCAGACTGAAAGTCAAGAGGAGAAGAAATTTACCTGAACTAGCCTCCTTGGTCAGGCTCCTGTGCCCTGGAC